TCTCCTCTCTCTGGTCTGTATATTCGACGACGACGACGCCATTCTCTGCTCCATTCAATGCTCTGCACCGGCCTCTGCTCCTACCAAGACTTTCGCGGCCATTAGGCCGGTGCAGAGGGGGGGCCGATTCTGTGAGGACGCAGAGAGAGAAGGAGAGAGAGAGGGAGCTCGAGAGATAGGGAAGACGGGACTGGCCTTAATGGCCAGTCCCTGTGGCGTGTTCCCCCGGCCTCCTCTGACCGGATGACGACGATGAGGAGCGGCGCCGCCGTGCGTCACGCTTCGGTCGCGCACAGGGGAGAACAGGGGAGGAGAGAGCGACCGGCGAGGGAGAAGGAAGAGAGGAAGGGGTTGGGCCGGGCCAGGCCCAGTCCGCGCGGAGGAAAAAAGGAAACGGGCTGGGCCCGCGCAGAAGGAAAGAGAAAAAAGAAAAAGGAAGAAAAAGGGCCGGGTCGGCCCAGCCCCGACCCGGCCCGAATCGATTTCGAAATTTTTTTTTTTTTTTTTTTAAACTTTTAAGAAAATATGCTCTAATAGGCCTTATTAATGCACATATGCCTAATGTCTATATGCAATGCATTTAAATAGAAATATTTTTTTGTTTTAGGAATTAAAGAAAATTAATTCCTAAATTTTGTGTAATTAATTTTGGGCAAATTAAAAATAGGTGTCAACATACAAATATATTATGATTCACTTGGCTTTCAAAATTTAAATCTAAAAAGAAAATAATTAGCTTCCTGAATATCTTATGTAAAATAACTCAATTGTTGTAATGGAAAAAGTTCCACCAAGATTCAAAGGTTCATCAGAGGCACCCATACAGTACGTAGACTATCGTCTCTAACAGCCAGCAATTAACTGGAAAACATAAGGTAGGCTTACATCGCAATAAATAAAAGATGGTAGAGCAAGAGAATTCGACTCACTTCTTGTTTAAGCATGGAGTACTCGTGCATGATCCAAGATCCCTTTGCTGCGTTTTCGCGTTCGAAAGACGAGCCGTCTTTCACTTTAAAGTTGAAGTGCTTCTTGTGGCCGACGATATTGCCCTGATGATCTTCGATGTCGGTGGTTTTCACCCCCTTCCAGAACCCCGACCCCGCCGTCCTTTCCGCTCTGGACTTCTTCATCTTGATCTTGGTGAAGACGTACAAGCTCCTGTCCGCGTCCTCGTCGAAGAACTTCCACGGTTCCTTCTCGTACACATCGAACTCGGGGATGAATCTGGAAAACGATAAATCCCCCCTCACCCTATGCGCAAGGTAATAGAAGAAGAGCTGTTCGTCGGACGGAGAAAACCGGTAACCGATGGGGAGCGTATCCGCCATGTTTCCACTCTCTTTCTCTCTCAGGAGCTATCTGAGACTCTTGAATTCGTAAGGGGGATGATCTTATGTTGCTCTCTAAAAACGTTTTTCTTTTTTCTGATCTAATGCTTTCTCTCACGAACTATATAGCCCGATCGAAGGTGACGGTAATGCATAATTGCCGCTGGAGATAATTTCGGAATATGAAAAATAATGTGGTTTTTTTAGTGTAACGATCAACTAAACTAACTTGTATGCAATTTAAACGAACAAAATAAGCGACAAAAATCAGTTAAATATCCCCAAAGTTCAGGTTGAATCTTATCTTCCCCAAAGACGCGCCGTCCTTCCGCCTGGAGACCAATCCTTACATGATCACCAATTGCATTTAAACTTTACAGTTACGTTTTAGTGACTGATTTGCCGACTTTTATTTATACAATATGGAATGAATGCGAAAATCAACTGTCGTCCATAAATGGGAGTTGAAAATGTTAACAACTTATTAAAATTTTATAATGCCTGAGTGAATGGTAAATTTTACCACTTACTCTTACACTAAAAAAAAATAAATATCTTGTCATTACAAGACGAGCATTCACCAATTGAATAAAAATTACGATTTTTTTTTCATTCTCTCTCTACTAGTTGTCGGGCTTTGGGGATGGCCGGTAACCAGCTAAAGGCGATAACTGGTGACGGTTGCCCTCGCCAAATCCGAGGAGGTTAAGCCTTGTTACGGGCCAGTGAGGCCTGGCCTCGTCGGGATCGGGTGAGGGGCAACCTCGCCGGGATCGAGAGAGTCTCGCTTCGCCAGATTTGGTGAGGTCAAGCCTCCCATGAAGTTGGCAAGGTCGCCCCTCATTGGATCTCGGCGAGGGTGACCCTTGTTGGTCTTTGCCTGTGGCTGGTCGCCGGGCGCCAACCATAGCTAAGGCCCAACGACCGGTGAAGGAAGATGGAAAAAAAGAAGGAAAGGAAATGAAAAATATAAAAAAATAAGAAACTGTCCATATCGGCGTCGGTCGTCTGCTAGCCATGTCACGTAGGACGGCTAACACCCACGTCAGCTATTTCCTGTCAAAATTGGATGGATTAGCTACATTGGCAAAATGTCAAAAGGTTTATGACTCAATTGATACAATTGAAATGTTGAAGACTGAATTGACATAAGTGCAATAGGTTTAAGATTTTTTGGTGCTTTTCCTTTAGCTTAGGTTAAATTAGGCCTCTCTTGAGTATTTTACTCTTAACTTTTAAACTTTCCATAATTTTTGCGAAATTCACATTTTGGATTTAATTTAATCCGAGAAATACTTGAAACATTTGGAAATATTCAATTAAAAATGTGAGAAACATCATTAACTTTTTCGTAACTTGTATACTTAAGTTGCACGTGTCATCTTAGTTCCGGGTGAAATGTAAACCTTTCTTTCCATTTGGAGATAACCTTTCACAAATCATTTACCTTTCATTCCGAATGATAACTTGAATTCCTAATGAAAAATTGGGGGCACGAAAGGTTGTTTAACTTCATTCCTTGACCAATAATAACCTTTCACACATCATTTGACACCCAATTTTCCGTAAATATTCTTCATACGTTAACCATTTCTCAAAAATAAAAAAGGAAATCGTTGTGTTGATCAAGAGGATATATTGCAATAAGCTATGATCGGTCGATCACTTTTATTTGGTTAAGCTTTATGTTTTATGGGTAAATATATGAATTACCTAAGAGATTTCGACCTCGTGATACGCACGAGATACAATTTAGTGAAATAAAAATGACATTGTTTTGATTGAAAAATCATTTAATGAGACATTGATGGAGAGTAAATGTGTCAAATAGGTAAAAGTTTGAGATTTTTTATCTCATAAAAAAAGTTTAGGGTAAATGTGTCACAATGGGCATATTTAGAGTTTTTTTTTTTGTAATTTTTTCCCTTTTCTTTTTGGTTGGTGGAGTTCAATAATGAGAATGTCTTAGTCGACGACGGAAGGTAGATTTGCCTTCACACCATCTTTCATTGAGGAAAGATGCAGGGGATATAAAAACCGGTTTATAAATTTGGTTCATAAGTCCTCATTAGATTACGTGGAGCAAATTCGAGTACTAAATATGAGTAAATCACATTTTTTTTTATTTTTTTGGAAAGCCCCTTTTTGAATCTTTAGTTTGTTCTTCTTCTTTTAAAGTGCATACAACATAAATAATATTCAACATCCATCCAAGTTCAAACTCTCATTCAATAAGCTTACACAATTTAATGCTTAGAATTTGCTGCACAAAGAAAAAATGCAATTACTTTTCTTAGGATTTATATCACGAAAAATCCTAAACTGTAATATCTGTGACAAATTTACCTTCCGTTAAATTTCGTAAAATTTTGCCATTACAGTTGCAGACGTGGACAATGCTCAGTGACGTGGCAAGCCACGTGGACGGCGTTCGGTGACATGGCAAACCACATGGAGAGCCACGTGGAATAACTTAGTTTTTTTCAAAATAATAATAACTCAATTGATGTTTATTCAATTAGCTCATGTTCTCTCTTCATTATAACACAAAAAACCTAGCGACAAATAGGGTTCTGTTCATCTTCTCTGACATTCCCTCCGACAAAGTCCCTTCTTCCCATCGCCATTTCCACCTTGCTGGTCGCGGTCTTGAGTTTATTGCATAGGTTTCTTATTGTCAAGGTAGGAAAACGATAGCCCTCTATTTCACGTCGCATTCGAGGCTCTATGTTTCCGAGGACCTCCTCTTTTTCTTTTTTGTTGGATCTCTCAGCCATAACATTCTAATAGCATATCTGGTGGCTTCGCTCATTTTCGGTTTGTGTCAAACTTGGTCTTATGTTTCTATGTCTTGGCCCTAAATGATTTACTGCTTGTCTGCAAATCTCTTTATACGCTTACGTATTGCTCTTGCTTTGTTGGTCATTCGTGTTAGTTCATGCCCTCGTTAGCGTTCGGTGGCTTTCCAACGTTGAATCATACGTGTCAAAATTTTAACATGAAACTTGCACGTGAATGCTATGATTGACTTGTACACAACATGCCGGATGAAATGCCAAAACCAAATTCACTTAAGTGACAACCTTGACTCGTACGTGTGTCAAAATTTTAACATGAAACTTGCATGTGAATGGTATGATTGGCTTATACACAACATACCCGAAGAAATGCCAAAACCAAATTCACTTAAGTTTGTCATTGATTTCGGGTGTACTTTGAGTTTGATTCTACGTGTCTTATGGAGTTCACCTATTTGGCTTGTATGTAGAGCTAATCATCAATGAGAGTTAACTATAATAATAATAATGATGATGATGATGAGGAGGAGGAGGAGGAGAATCGCCGGACTAGTTAGTTTGCCATTTTATATTGAGAACTCTTGATATAAATTCGATCTTGAGGTATAGCATTAAATAATAACATATTGTTTGATGAGAATGGGCAGAATGGAGAATGGAGAATGAATAACAATGGAACGGGATACTTTTCAGTGTAATCAACATCAAAATATGTAATTGGGATTCGAATGAAACATGTTAGCACTTATGAATGTTGCAAAATCACATCATCCAATATTCATCGATTGTAAGAGTTAATTCGGTTCTTGCAATGGACTATTTACATATTCTCGTAGATCTTTGCCGAACGATTACTCGAGTGCTTCTACCATCAAAGGGGCGAACTCGATGCGGTAACATCACATGCTAGAGGCCATTCACCTAGTACGAAGCTGTCTTCGGGGTCCTCCCAGCCATTTGTCCAATCGAGATTGATGTGGTCAAGAAACCATTGAGAACCGTCGTCGTTAGTATTCTCTTCTGTGATTGGAAATGCAAGTGAATTTGCGTTTCCACCGGATGTCGCGATGCCCATGAAGCATTGCTCGATTGGCCTTTGTTCACTTACGAAACCCCTAATATGGAATACTGGTTGTGCACTGATTGCTAAGCACGGTTGAGATGCCAACGTGAAGGATTCCCCCTCTGAACCTGTGCAATACCATGGTTGCCGATCAACATGAGGACCCGAAAAGGGAGACATTGCTTCCGATGGTTCCATGTTGATGTCTTGGTGAGGCACATCGATGTTGCGGTTGAAGTCGGAAGATTCGTTGAGTCGGTGATCTTCTCGAGTTCTGACAGGCATGCTTAGGAAAATCGTAGTGCCTTGTTTTTCCCTGCTTTCTTCCTTCTTGAATCGGATTTTACATAGAACAATCTGCAATTTACATACCAAAGGAAACACTAAGGTGTTAAGAAATTTATGATTTTTTTCTATCAAATAAAGCAGGGAGAATAGGATCTAAACGGATTATATGAGTGCATTCTGCTAAACATGGCTTTCAAAGAATTTAAAACGAGAAAACAAAAAAGATGACCAAATTGGCTTTCACGATTTACTCACCTGTTGAAACCCTAGGATAGAGAAACGGCACTATTATGATTCTACGGGTACAATAGCGTACGCAATATTATAAGAATAATTCTAACATGACAAAGACTAAGATATATTGGTTATACAAATATATTACGGTTCACTTGGCTTTGAAAATTGAATCTAAAAAGAAAATAATCAGCTTTCTGGATTTTATTAGCATTAGGAACCCGAATATCTTATGTAAAATAACGAAACTGTTGTAATGGAAGAACTTCCACCAAGTTTCCAAGGTTCATTAGAGGCACTCATACGGTACGTAGAGACAAGGTAGACGTACATGGCAATAAATTAACGAAGGTAGAACAAGAGAATTTGACTCACTTCTTGCTTAAGCATGGAGTACTCGTGCATGATCCAAGATCCCTTTGCTGCGTTTTCGCGTTCGAAAGACGAGCCGTCTTTCGCTTTAAAGTTGAAGTGCTTCTTGTGGCCGACGATATTGCCCTGATGATCTTCGATGTCGGTGGTTTTCACCCCCTTCCAGAATCCCGACCCCGCCGTCCTTTCCGCTCTGGACTTCTTCATCTTGATCTTGGTGAAGACGTACAAGCTCCTGTCCGCGTTCTCGTCGAAGAACTTCCACGGTTCCTTCTCGTACACGTCGAACTCGGGTATGAATCCGGAAAACGATAAATCCCCTCTCACCCTATGCGCAAGGTAATAGAAGAAGAGTTGTTCGTCGGACGGAGAAAACCGGTAACCGATGGGGAGCGTATCGGCCATGTTTCCTCGCTCTTTCTCTCTGACGAGCTATCTGAGACTCTTGAATTCGTAGGAGGATGATCTTATGTTGCTCTCTAAAAGACTTCTTTCTTTTTCTGATCTAATGCTTTCTCTCACGAACTATAGAGCCCCATCGAAGGTGACGATAATGCATAATTGCTGCTGGAGATAATTTCGGAATATGAAAAATAATGTGTTTTTTTTTAGTGTAACAATCAACTAAACTAACTTGTATGCAATTTAAATGAACAATAGAAGTGAGGAAAACAGTTAAATATCCCAAAAGTTCAGGTTGGATCTTATCTTCCCCAAACACGCGCCGTCCTTCCGCCTGGAGACCAATCCTTACATGATCACCAATTACATTTAAACTTTAACGTTACATTCTAGTAACTGATTTGCCGACTTTTATTTATACAATATGGAATGAATGCGAAAATCAACTGTCGTCCATAAATGGGAGTTGAAAACGTTAACAACTTATTAAAATTTTTCAATGCCTAAGTGAATGGTAAATTTTACCACTTACTCTTACATTAAAAAAAAAAAAACATCCTGTCATTACAAGATGAGCTTTCATCTATTGAATAAAAATTATGATTTTTTTTTCATTCTTTCTCCGCTAGTTGCAGGGCTTTGGAGGTGGCCGGTGACCAGCTAAAGGCGACGACTGGTGAGGGTTGCCCTCACCAAATCCGGGGAGGTTGAGCCTTGTTACAAGCTAGTGAGGCTTGGTCTCGCCGAGATCGGGTGAGGGGTAACCTCGCCGGGATCGGGAGAGTCTCGCTTTGCTAGATCTGGTGAGGTCGAGCCTCCCCTGAAGTTGGCAAGGTCGCCCCTCATTGGATCCCGGCAAGGGTGACCTTGTTGGTCTTTGCCTGTGGCCGACCGCCAAGCGCCAGCTATAGCTAGGGCCCGACGACTAGTGAAGGAAGATGGAAAAAAAAAGAGAAAAGGAAATGAAAAATATATAAAAAAATAATGAACTGTCCACATCAGCGCCGGCTGTCTGCTAGTCGTGCCACGTAAGACAGCTGACACCCATGTCAGCTATTTCCAGTCAAAATTGACTGGATTAGCTACATTGACAAAATGTCAAAAGGGTTATGACTCCATTGGTACAATTGAAATATTTAGGACTGAATTGACATAAGTGCAATAGATTTAAGATTTTTTTGGTGCTTTTCCTAGTGATTCTTAGCTTAGGTTAAATTAGGCCTGTCTTGAGTATTTAACTTTTAACTTTTAAACTTTTCATAATTTTTGTGAAATTCACATTTTGGATTTAATTTAATCCGAGAAATACTTGAAACATTTGGAAATATTCAATTAAGAATGTGAGAAACATCATTAACTTTTTTTGTAACTTCTATGCTTAAGTTGCACCTGTCATCTTAGTTCCGGGTGAAATGTAAACCTTTCTTTCCATTTGGAGATAACCATTTACAAATCATTTACCTTTCATTCCAAATGATAACTTGAATTCCTAATGAAAAATTGGGGGCACGAAAGGTTGTTTAACTTCATTCCTTGACCAATAATAACCTTTTGCACATCATTTGACACCCAATTTTCAGTAAATATTCTTAATACGTTTACCATTTCTCAAAAATAAAAAAGGAAATCCTTGTGTTGATCAAGAAGATATATTGCATTAAACTATGATCGGTGGATCACTTTAATTTGGTTAAGCTTTATGTTTTATGGGGAAATATATGAATTACCTAAGAGATTTCGACCCAGTGAATCTGTGATATGCACAAGATGCAATTTAGTGAAATTAAATGACATTATTTTGGATGAAAAATCATCTAATGAGACATTGATGGAGAGCAAATGTGTCACATTGGTAAAAGTTTAGGATTTTTTATCTCATAAAAGAAGTTCAGGTAAATGTGTCACGATTGGCATATTTTAGAGTTTTTTTTTTGTAATTTTTTCCCTTTTCTTTTTGGATGGTGGAGTTCAATAATGAGAATGTCTTAGTCGACGAAGGAAGGTAGATTTGCTTGCACACCATCTTTCATTGAGGAATGATGCAGGGGATATAAAAACCAGTTTATAAATTTGATTCATAACTCCACATTTGATTACGTGGGCCAAATTCGAGTACTAAATATGAGTAAATCACATTTTTTTATTATTTTTTTGGAAAACCCCTTTTTGAATCTTTAGTATATTCTTCTTCTTTTAAGGTGCATACAACATAAATTATATTCAACATCCATCCAAGTTCAAACTCTCATTCAATAAGCTTACACAATTTAATGCTTAGAATTTGCTGCACAAAGAAAAAAATGCAATCATTTTTCTTACGGTTTATATCACGAAAAATCTTAAACTGGTATACCTATGACAAATTTACCCTCCGTTAATTTCCATAAAATTTTGCCATTACAGTTGCAGACGTGGAAAATGCTCGGTGACGTGGCAAGCCACGTGGATGAAGTTGAGTGATGTGGCAAACTACGTGGAGAGCCACGTGAAAATAACTTAGTTTTTTTTCAAAATAATAATAACTCAATTGATGTTTATTCAATTAGCTCGTGTTCTCTCTTCATTATAACACAAAAAAAACCCTAGCAACAAATAGGGTTCAGTTCATCTTCTCCGACATTCCCTCCAACAAAGCCCGTTCTTCCCATCGCCATTTCCACCTTGCTGGTCGCGGATTTGGGTTTGTGTCATAGGTTTCATATTGTCGAGGTAGGAAAACGATAGTCCTCTATTTCACGTCGCATTCATGCCTCTATGTTTCCAAGGACCTCCTCTTTTTCTTTTTTGTTGGATCTCTCAGCCATAACACTCTAATCGCACATCTGGTTGCTTCGCTCATTTTTGATTTGTGTCAAACTTGGTCTTATGTTTCTATGTCTTGGCCCTAAATGATTTACTGCTTGGCTGCAAATCTCTTTATACGCTTATGTATTGCTTTTGCTATGTTGGTCATTCGTGTTAGTTCATGCCCTTGTTAGCGTTACATGTCTTTCCAACCTTGAATCATACGTGTCAAAATTTTAACATGAAACTTGCATGTGAATGGTGGTATGATTGACTTGTACACAACATGCCAGATGAAATGCCATAACCTAATTCACTTAAGTGACAACCTTGAATCATACATGTGTCAAAATTTCAACATGAAACTTGCATATGAATGATATGATTGACTTGTACACAACATACCCAATGAAATGCCAAAACCAAATTCACTTAAGTTTGTCACTGATTTCAGGTGTACTTTGAGTGTGATTCTATGTGTCTTATGAGATTTCACCTTTTTGGCTTGTACGTAGAGCTAATCATCAATGAGAGTTAACTATAATAATAATAATAGTGAGGAGGAGGAGAATCGCCGGACTAGGTAGTTTGCCTTTTTATTGAGAACTCTTGATATAAATTCGATCTTGAGGTATAGCATTGAATAATAACATATTGTTTGATGAGAATGTACTGAATGGAGAATGAATAACAATGGAACGGGATACTTTTCAGTGTAATCAACATCAAAATATGTAATTGGGATTCGAATGAAACATGTTAGCACTTATGAATGTTGCAAAATCACATCATCCAATATTCATCGATTGTAAGAGTTAATTCAGTTCTTGCAATGGACTATTTACATATTCTCGTAGATCTTTGCCGAACGATTACTCGAGTGCTTCTACCATCAAAGGGGCGAACTCTGATGCGGTAACATCACGTGCTAGAGGCCATTCACCTGGTACGAAGATGTCTTCAAGGTCCTCCCAGCCATTTGTCCAATCGAGATTGATGTGGTCAAGAAACCATTGAGAACCTTCATCGTCAGTATTCTCTTCCGTGATTGGTAATGCAGGTGAATTTGCGTTTCCACCGGATGTCGCGATGCCCATGAAGCTTTGCTCGATTGGCCTTCGTTCACGTACGAAACCCCCATTATCGAACACTGGTTGTGCACTGATTGCTAAGCACGGTTGAGATGCCAAAGTCGAGAATTCCCCCTCTGAACCTGTGCAATACCATGGTTGCCGATCAACATGAGGATATGAAAAGAGAGACATTGTTTCCGATGGTTCCATGTTGATGTCTTGGTGAGGCACATCGATGTTGCGGTTGAAGTCGGAAGATTCGTTGAGTCGGTGATCTTCTCGGGTTCTGACCGGCATGCTTAGGAAAATCGTAGTGCCTTGTTTTTTGCCGCTTTCTTCCTTCTTGAATCGGATTTTACATAGAACAATCTGCAATTTTACATACCAAAGGAAACACCAAGGCGTTAAGAAATTTATGAATTTTTCCAGCAAATATAGCTGGGAGAATAGTATCTAAACATGTTAGATGAATGCATTATGCTAAACATGGTTTTCAAAGAATTAAAAACGAGAACAAAAAGATGACGAGTTTGGCTTTCACGATTTACTCACCTGATGAAACCCTAGGATATAGAAGCGGCACTATTCTAATTCTACGGGTACACTAGCGTACACAATATTATAAGAATAATTCTAACATGACAAAGGCTAAGATATATTGATTGTACAAATATATTATGATTCACTTGGCTTTCAAAATTTAAATCTAAAAAGAAAATAATTAGCTTCCTGAATATCTTATGTAAAATAACTCAATTGTTGTAATGGAAAAAGTTCCACCAAGATTCAAAGGTTCATCAGAGGCACTCATACAGTACGTAGACTATCATCTCCAACAGTCAACAATTAACTGGAAAACATAAGGTAGGCTTACATCGCAATAAATTAAAGAAGGTAGGAACAAGAGAATTTGACTCACTTCTTGTTTGAGCATGGAGTACTCGTGCATGATCCAAGATCCCTTTGCTGCGTTTTTGCGTTCGAAAGACGAGCCGTCTTTCACTTTAAAGTTGAAGTGCTTCTTGTGGCCGACGATATTGCCCTGATGATCTTCGATGTCGGTGGTTTTCACCCCTTCCAGAACCCCGACCCCGCCGTCCTTTCCGCTCTGGACTTCTTCATCTTGATCTTGGTGAAGACGTACAAGCTCCTGTCCGCGTCCTCGTCGAAGAACTTCCACGGTTCCTTCTCGTACACATCGAACTCGGGGATGAATCTGGAAAACGATAAATCCCCCCTCACCCTATGCGCAAGGTAATAGAAGAAGAGCTGTTCGTCGGACGGAGAAAACCGGTAACCGATGGGGAGCGTATCCGCCATGTTTCCACTCTCTTTCTCTCTCAGGAGCTATCTGAGACTCTTGAATTCGTAAGGGGGATGATCTTATGTTGCTCTCTAAAAGACTTCTTTCTTTTTTCTGATCTAATGCTTTCTCTCACGAACTATATAGCCCGATCGAAGGTGACGGTAATGCATAATTGCCGCTGGAGATAATTTCGGAATATGAAAAATAATGTGTTTTTTTTAGTGTAACGATCAACTAAACTAACTTGTATGCAATTTAAACGAACAAAATAAGCGACAAAAATCAGTTAAATATCCCCAAAGTTCAGGTTGAATCTTATCTTCCCCAAAGACGCGCCGTCCTTCCGCCTGGAGACCAATCCTTACCTGATCGCCAATTACATTTAAAACTTTACAGTTACGTTTTAGTGACTGATTTGCCGACTTTTATTTATACAATATGGAATGAATGCGAAAATCAACTGTCGTCCATAAATGGGAGTTGAAAATGTTAACAACTTATTAAAATTTTATAATGCCTGAGTGAATGGTAAATTTTACCACTTACTCTTACACTAAAAAAAAAAAACATCTTGTCATTACAAGACGAGCATTCACCAATTGAATAAAAATTACGATTTTTTTTTCATTCTCTCTCTACTAGTTGCCGGGCTTTGGAGATGGCCGGTAACCAGCTAAAGGCGATAACTGGTGACGGTTGCCCTCGCCAAATCCGAGGAGGTTAAGCCTTGTTACGGGCCAGTGAGGCCTGGCCTCGTCGGGATCGGGTGAGGGGCAACCTCGCCGGGATCGAGAGAGTCTCGCTTCGCCAGATTTGGTGAGGTCAAGCCTCCCATGAAGTTGGCAAGGTCGCCCCTCATTGGATCTCGGCGAGGGTGACCCTTGTTGGTCTTTGCCTGTGGCCGGTCGCCGGGCGCCAACCATAGCTAAGGCCCAACGACTAGTGAAGGAAGATGGAAAAAAAAGAAGGGAAAGGAAATGAAAAATATAAAAAATAAGAAACTGTCCATATCAGCGTCGGTCGTCTGCTAGCCATGTCACGTAGGACGGCTAACACCCACGTCAGCTATTTCCTGTCAAAATTGGATGGATTAGCTACATTGGCAAAATATCAAAATGTTTATGACTCAATTGATACAATTGAAATGTTGAAGACTGAATTGACATAAGTGCAATAGGTTTAAGATTTTTTTGGTGCTTTTCCTTTAGCTTAGGTTAAATTAGGCCTCTCTTGAGTATTTTACTCTTAACTTTTAAACTTTCCATAATTTTTTGCGAAATTCACATTTTGGATTTAATTTAATCCGAGAAATACTTGAAACATTTGGAAATATTCAATTAAAAATGTGAGAAACATCATTAACTTTTTCGTAACTTGTATACTTAAGTTGCACGTGTCATCTTAGTTCCGGGTGAAATGTAAACCTTTCTTTCCATTTGGAGATAACCTTTCACAAATCATTTACCTTTCATTCCGAATGATAACTTGAATTCCTAATGAAAAATTGGGGGCACGAAAGGTTGTTTAACTTCATTCCTTGACCAATAATAACCTTTCACACATCATTTGACACCCAATTTTCCGTAAATATTCTTCATACGTTAACCATTTCTCAAAAATAAAAAAGGAAATCGTTGTGTTGATCAAGAGGATATATTGCAATAAGCTATGATCGGTCGATCACTTTTATTTGGTTAAGCTTTATGTTTTATGGGTAAATATATGAATTACCTAAGAGATTTCGACCTCGTGATACGCACGAGATACAATTTAGTGAAATAAAAATGACATTGTTTTGATTGAAAAATCATTTAATGAGACATTGATGGAGAGTAAATGTGTCAAATAGGTAAAAGTTTGGGATTTTTTATCTCATAAAAAAAGTTTAGGGTAAATGTGTCACAATGGGCATATTTTAGAGTTTTTTTCTTTTTGTAATTTTTTCCCTTTTCTTTTTGGATGGTGGAGTTCAATAATGAGAATGTCTTAGTCGACGAAGGAAGGTAGATTTGCCTTCACACCATCTTTTATTGAGGAAAGATGCAGGGGATATAAAAACCGGTTTATAAATTTGGTTCATAAGTCCTCATTAGATTACGTGGAGCAAATTCGAGTACTAAATATGAGTAAATCACATTTTTTTTTATTTTTTTGGAAAGCCCCTTTTTGAATCTTTAGTTTGTTCTTCTTCTTTTAAAGTGCATACAACATAAATAATATTCAACATCCATCCAAGTTCAAACTCTCATTCAATAAGCTTACACAATTTAATGCTTAGAATTTGCTGCACAAAGAAAAAATGCAATTACTTTTCTTAGGATTTATATCACGAAAAATCCTAAACTGTAATATCTGTGACAAATTTACCCTCCGTTAAATTTCTTAAAATTTTGCCGTTACAGTTGCAGACGTGGACAATGCTTAGTGACGTGGCAAGCCACGTGGACAGCGTTCGGTGACATGGCAAACCACATGGAGAGCCACGTGGAATAACTTAGTTTTTTTCAAAATAATAATAACTCAATTGATGTAATTTATTCAATTAGCTCATGTTCTCTCTTCATTATAACACAAAAAACCTAGCGACAAATAGGGTTCTGTTCATCTTCTCTGACATTCCCCCCGACAAAGTCCCTTCTTCCCATCGCCATTTCCACCTTGCTGGTCGCGGTCTTGAGTTTATTGCATAGGTTTCTTATTGTCAAGGTAGGAAAACGATAGCCCTCTATTTCACGTGGCATTCGAGGCTCTATGTTTCCGAGGACCTCCTCTTTTTCTTTTTTGTTGGATCTCTCAGCCATAACATTCTAATAGCATATCTGGTTGCTTCGCTCATTTTCGGTTTGTGTCAAACTTGGTCTTATGTTTCTATGTCTTGGCCCTAAATGATTTACTGCTTGTCTGCAAATCTCTTTATACGCTTACGTATTGCTCTTGCTTTGTAAGGTCATTCGTGTTAGTTCATGCCCTCGTTAGCGTTCAGTGGCTTTCCAACGTTGAATCATACGTGTCAAAATTTTAACATGAAACTTGCACGTGAATGCTATGATTGACTTGTACACAACATGCCGGATGAAATGCCAAAACCAAATTCACTTAAGTGACAACCTTGACTCGTACGTGTGTCAAAATTTTAACATGAAACTTGCATGTGAATGGTATGATTGGCTTATACACAACATACCCGAAGAAATGCCAAAACCAAATTCACTTAAGTTTGTCACTGATTTCGGGTGTACTTTGAGTTTGATTCTACGTGTCTTATGGAGTTCACCTATTTGGCTTGTATGTAGAGCTAATCATCAATGAGAGTTAACTATAATAATAATAATGATGATGATGATGAGGAGGAGGAGGAGGAGAATCGCCGGACTAGGTAGTTTGCCTTTTTATATTGAGAACTCTTGATATAAATTCGATCTTGAGGTATAGCATTAAATAATAACATATTGTTTGATGAGAATGGGCAGAATGGAGAATGGAGAATGAATAACAATGGAACGGGATACTTTTCAGTGTAATCAACATCAAAATATGTAATTGGGATTCGAATGAAACATGTTAGCACTTATGAATGTTGCAAAATCACATCATCCAATATTCATCGATTGTAAGAGTTAATCCGGTTCTTGCAATGGACTATTTACATATTCTCGTAGATCTTTGCCGAACGATTACTCGAGTGCTTCTACCATCAAAGGGGCGAACTCTGATGCGGTAACATCACATGCTAGAGGCCATTCACCTAGTACGAAGCTGTCTTCGGGGTCCTCCCAGCCATTTGTCCAATCGAGATTGATGTGGTCAAGAAACCATTGAGAACCGTCGTCGTTAGTATTCTCTTCTGTGATTGGAAATGCAAGTGAATTTGCGTTTCCACCGGATGTCGCGATGCCCATGAAGCTTTGCTCGATTGGCCTTTGTTCACTTACGAAACCCCTAATATGGAATACTGGTTGTGCACTGATTGCTAAGCACGGTTGAGATGCCAACGTGAAGGATTCCCCCTCCGAACCTGTGCAATACCATGGTTGCCGATCAACATGAGGACCCGAAAAGGGAGACATTGCTTCCGATGGTTCCATGTTGATGTCTTGGTGAGGCACATCGATGTTGCGGTTGAAGTCGGAAGATTCGTTGAGTCGGTGATCTTCTCGAGTTCGACAGGCATGCTTAGGAAAATCGTAGTGCCTTGTTTTTCCCTGCTTTCTTCCTTCTTGAATCGGATTTTACATAGAACAATCTGCAATTTACATACCAAAGGAAACACTAAGGTGTTAAGAAATTTATGATTTTTTTCTATCAAATAAAGCAGGGAGAATAGGATCTAAACGGATTATATGAGTGCATTCTGCTAAACATGGCTTTCAAAGAATTTAAAACGAGAAAACAAAAAGATGACCAAATTGGCTTTCACGATTTACTCACCTGATGAAACCCTAGGATAGAGAAACGGCACTATTATGATTCTACGGGTACAATAGCGTACGCAATATTATAAGAATAATTCTAACATGACAAAGACTAAGATATATTGGTTATACAAATATATTACGGTTCACTTGGCTTTGAAAATTGAATCTAAAAAGAAAATAATCAGCTTTCTGGATTTTATTAGCATTAGGAACCCGAATATCTTATGTAAAATAACGAAACTGTTGTAATGGAAGAACTTCCACCAAGTTTCCAAGGTTCATTAGAGGCACTCATACGGTACGTAGAGACAAGGTAGACGTACATGGCAATAAATTAACGAAGGTAGAACAAGAGAATTTGACTCACTTCTTGCTTAAGCATGGAGTACTCGTGCATGATCCAAGATCCCTTTGCTGCGTTTTCGCGTTCGAAAGACGAGCCGTCTTTCGCTTTAAAGTTGAAGTGCTTCTTGTGGCCGACGATATTGCCCTGATGATCTTCGATGTCGGTGGTTTTCACCCCCTTCCAGAATCCCGACCCCGCCGTCCTTTCCGCTCTGGACTTCTTCATCTTGATCTTGGTGAAGAAGTACAAGCTCCTGTCCGCGTCCTCGTCGAAGAACTTCCACGGTTCCTTCTCGTACACGTCGAACTCGGGTATGAATCCGGAAAACGATAAATCCCCTCTCACCCTATGCGCAAGGTAATAGAAGAAGAGTTGTTCGTCGGACGGAGAAAACCGACAACCGATGGGGAGCGTATCGGCCATGTTTCCTCGCTCTTTCTCTCTGACGAGCTATCTGAGACTCTTGAATTCGTAGGAGGATGATCTTATGTTGCTCTCTAAAAGACTTCTTTCTTTTTTCTGATCGAATGCTTTCTCTCACGAACTATATAGCCCCATCGAAGGTGACGATAATGCATAATTGCCGCTGGAGATAATTTCGGAATATGAAAAATAATGTGTTTTTTTTAGTGTAACAATCAACTAAACTAACTCGTATGCAATTTAAATGAACAATAGAAGTGAGAAAAACAGTTAAATATCCCAAAAGTTCAGGTTGGATCTTATCTTCCCCAAACACGCGCCGTCCTTCCGCCCGGAGACCAAGCCTTACCTGATTGCCAATTACATTTAAAACTTTACAGTTACTTTCTAGTAACTGATTTGCCGACTTTTATTTGATACAATATGGAATGAATGCGAAAATCAACTGTCGTCCATAAATGGGAGTTGAAAACGTTAACAACTTATTAAAATTTTTCAATGCCTAAGTGAATGGTAAATTTTACCACTTACTCTTACATTAAAAAAAAAAACATCCTGTCATTACAAGATGAGCTTTCATCTATTGAATAAAAATTATGATTTTTTTTTCATTCTTTCTCCGCTAGTTGCGGGGCTTTGGAGGTGGCCGGTGACCGCTAAAGGCGACGATCGGTGAGGGTTGCCCTCACCAAATCCGGGAGGTTGAGCCTTGTTACAAGCTAGTGAGGCTTGGTCTCGCCGAGATCGGGTGAGGGGTAACCTCGCCGGGATCGGGAGAGTCTCGCTTTGCTAGATCTGGTGAGGTCAAGCCTCCCTTGAAGTTGGCAAGGTCGCCCCTCATTGGATCCCGGCGAGGGTGACCCTTGTTGGTCTTTGCCTGTGGCCGACCGCCGAGCGCCAGCTGTAGCTAGGGCCCGACGACTAGTGAAGGAAGATGGAAAAAAAAAGAGAAAAGGAAATGAAAATATATAAAAAAATAATGAATCTGTCCACATCGCGGCTGCTCGCTAGTCGTGCCACGTAAGGCGTGACACCCACGTCGGCTATTTCCAGTCAAAATTGGCTTGATTAGCTACATTGACAAAATGTCAAAAGGGTTATGACTCCATTGGTACAATTGAAATATTTAGGACTGAATTGACATAAGTGCAATAGATTTAAGATTTTTTTGGTGCTTTTCCTAGTGATTCTTAGCTTAGGTTAAATTAGGCCTGTCTTGAGTATTTAACTTTTAACTTTTAAACTTTTCATAATTTTTGTGAAATTCACATTTTGGATTTAATTTAATCCGAGAAATACTTGAAACATTTGGAAATATTCAATTAAGAATGTGAGAAACATCATTAACTTTTTTTGTAACTTATATGCTTAAGTTGCACCTGTCATCTTAGTTCCGGGTGAAATGTAAACCTTTCTTTCCATTTGGAGATAACCACTTACAAATCATTTACCTTTCATTCCAAATGATAACGTGAATTCCTAATGAAAAATTGGGGGCACGAAAGGTTGTTTAACTTCATTCCTTGACCAATAATAACCTTTTGCACATCATTTGACACCCAATTTTCGGTAAATATTCTTAATACGTTTACCATTTCTCAAAAATAAAAAAGGAAATCCTTGTGTTGATCAAGAAGATATATTGCAATAAACTATGATCGGTCGATCACTTTTATTTGGTTAAGCTTTATGTTTTATGGGGAAATATATGAATTACCTAAGAGATTTCGACCCAGTGAATCTGTGATATGCACAAGATGCAATTTAGTGAAATTAAATGACATTATTTTGGATGAAAAATCATCTAATGAGACATTGATGGAGAGCAAATGTGTCACATTAGTAAAAGTTTAGGATTTTTTATCTCATAAAAGAAGTTCAGGTAAATGTGTCACAATTGTCATATTTTAGAGTTTTTTTTTGTAATTTTTTCCCTTTTCTTTTTGGATGGTGGAGTTCAATAATGAGAATGTCTTAGTCGACGAAGGAAGGTAGATTTGCTTGCACACCATCTTTCATTGAGGAATGATGCAGGGGATATAAAAACCAGTTTATAAATTTGATTCATAACTCCACATTTGATTACGTGGGCCAAATTCGAGTACTAAATATGAGTAAATCACATTTTTTTATTATTTTTTTGGAAAACCCCTTTTTGAATCTTTAGTATATTCTTCTTCTTTAAGGTGCATACAACATAAATTATATTCAACATCCATCCAAGTTCAAACTCTCATTCAATAAGCTTACACAATTTAATGCTTAGAATTTGCTGCACAAAGAAAAAATGCAATCATTTTTCTTACGGTTTATATCACGAAAATCTTAAACTGGTATACCTATGACAAATTTACCCTCCGTTAATTTCCATAAAATTTTGCCATTACAGTTGCGACGTGGAAAATGCTCGGTGACGTGGCAAGCCACGTGGATGAAGTTGAGTGATGTGGCAAACTACGTGGAGAGCCACGTGAAAATAACTTAGTTTTTTTTCAAAATAATAATAACTCAATTGATGTTTATTCAATTAGCTCATGTTCTCTCTTCATTATAACACAAAAAAAACCCTAGCAACAAATAGGGTTCAGTTCATCTTCTCCGACATTCCCTCCGACAAAGCCCCTTCTTCCCATTGCCATTTCCACCTTGCTGGTCGCGGATTTGGGTTTGTGTCATAGGTTTCATATTGTCGAGGTAGGAAAACGATAGTCCTCTATTTCACGTCGCATTCCTGCCTCTATGTTTCCAAGGACCTCCTCTTTTTCTTTTTTGTTGGATCTCTCAGCCATAACACTCTAATCGCATATCTGGTTGCTTCGCTCATTTTTGATTTGTGTCAAACTTGGTCTTATGTTTCTATGTCTTGGCCCTAAATGATTTACTGCTTGGCTGCAAATCTCTTTATACGCTTATGTATTGCTTTTGCTATGTTGGTCATTCGTGTTAGTTCATGCCCTTGTTAGCGTTACATGTCTTTCCAACCTTGAATCATACGTGTCAAAATTTTAACATGAAACTTGCATGTGAATGGTGGTATGATTGACTTGTACACAACATGCCAGATGAAATGCCATAACCTAATTCACTTAAGTGACAACCTTGAATCATACATGTGTCAAAATTTCAACATGAAACTTGCATGTGAATGGTATGATTGACTTGTACACAACATACCCGATGAAATGCCAAAACCAAATTCACTTAAGTTTGTCATTGATTTCGGGTGTACTTTAAGTGTGATTCTACGTGTCTTATGAGAGTTCACCTTTTTGGCTTGTATGTAGAGCTAATCACCAATGAGAGTTAAATATAATAATAATAATGAGGAGGAGGAGGAGGAGGAGAATCGCCGGACTATATAGTTTGCCTTTTTATTGAGAACTCTTGATATAAATTCAATCTTGAGGTATAGCATTGAATAATAACATATTGTTTGATGAGAATGTGTACAATGGAGAATGAGTAACAATGGAACGGGATACTTTTCAGTGTAATCAACATCAAAATATGTAATTGGGATTCGAATGAAACATGTTAGCACTTATGAATGTTGCAAAATCACATCATCCAATATTCATCGATTGTAAGAGTTAATTCGGTTCTTGCAATGGACTATTTACATATTCTCGTAGATCTTTGCCGAACGATTACTCGAGTGCTTCTACCATCAAAGGGGCGAACTCTGATGCGGTAACATCACGTGCTAGAGGCCATTCAGGTACGAAGTTGTCTTCAAGGTCCTCCCAGCCATTTGTCCAATCGAGATTGATGTGGTCAAGAAACCATTGAGAACCGTCGTCGTCAGTATTCTCTTCCGTGATTGGTAATGCAGGTGAATTTGCGTTTCCACCGGATGTCGCGATGCCCATGAAGCTTTGCTCGATTGGCCTTCGTTCACTTACGAAACCCCATTATTGAACACTGGTTGTGCACGATTGCTAAGCACGGTTGAGATGCCAAAGTCGAGAATTCCCCTCCGAACCTGTGCAATACCATGGTTGCCGATCAACATGAGGATATGAAAAGAGAGACATTGTTTCCGATGGTTCCATGTTGATGTCTTGGTGAGGCACATCGATGTTGCGGTTGAAGTCGGAAGATTCGTTGAGTCGGTGATCTTCTCGGGTTCGACCGGCATGCTTAGGAAAATCGTAGTGCCTTGTTTTTTGCCGCTTTCTTCCTTCTTGAATCGGATTTTACATAGAACAATCTGCAATTTTACATACCAAAGGAAACACCAAGGTGTTAAGAAATTTATGAATTTTTCCAGCAAATATAGCTGGGAGAATAGTATCTAAACATGTTAGATGAATGCATTATGCTAAACATGGCTTTCAAAGAATTAAAAACGAGAACAAAAGATGACCGAGTTTGGCTTTCACGATTTACTCACCTGATGAAACCCTAGGATATAGAAGCGGCACTATTCTAATTCTACGGGTACACTAGCGTACACAATATTATAAGAATAATTCTAACATGACAAAGGCTAAGATATATTGATTGTACAAATATATTATGATTCACTTGGCTTTCAAAATTTAAATCTAAAAAGAAAATAATTAGCTTTCTGAATATCTTATGTAAAATAACTAAATTGTTGTAATGGAAAAGTTCCAACAAGATTCAAAGGTTCATCAGAGGCACCCATACAGTACGTAGACTATCGTCTCTAACAGCCAGCAATTAACTGGAAAACATAAGGTAGGCTTACATCGCAATAAATAAAAGATGGTAGAGCAAGAGAATTCGACTCACTTCTTGTTTAAGCATGGAGTACTCGTGCATGATCCAAGATCCCTTTGCTGCGTTTTCGCGTTCGAAAGACGAGCCGTCTTTCACTTTAAAGTTGAAGTGCTTCTTGTGGCCGACGATATTGCCCTGATGATCTTCGATGTCGGTGGTTTTCACCCCCTTCCAGAACCCCGACCCCGCCGTCCTTTCCGCTCTGGACTTCTTCATCTTGATCTTGGTGAAGACGTACAAGCTCCTGTCCGCGTTCTCGTCGAAGAACTTCCACGGTTCCTTCTCGTACACGTCGAACTTGGGGATGAATCCGGAAAACGATAAATCCCCTCTCACCCTATGCGCAAGGTAATAGAAGAAGAGTTGTTCGTCGGACGGAGAAAACCGGTAACCGATGGGGAGCGTATCGGCCATGTTTCCACGCTCTTTCTCTCTGACCAGCTATCTGAGAGTCTTCAATTCGTGGGGGATGATCTTATGTTGCTCTCTAAAAGACTTCTTTCTTTTTTGCTTCTGATCTAATGCTTTCTCTCACGAACTATATAGCCACATCGAAGGTGACGATAATGCATAATTGCCGCTGGAGATAATTTCGGAATATGAAAAATAATGTGTTTTTTTTTAGTGTAACGATCAACTAAACTAACTTGTATGCAATTTAAATGAACAAAATAAGCGGCAAAAATCAGTTAAATATCCCCAAAGTTCAGGTTGAATCTTATCTTCCCCAAAGACGCGCCGTCCTTCCGCCTGTAGACCAATCCTTACATGATCACCAATTGCATTTAAACTTTACAGTTACGTTTTAGTGACTGATTTGCCGACTTTTATTTATACAATATGGAATGAACGCGAAAGTCAAACTGTCGTCCATAAATGGGAGTTGAAAATGTTAACAACTTATCAAAAAAATTTAATGCCCGAGTGAATGGTAAATTTTACCACTTACTCATACACTTAAAAAAAAACAAAACATCTTATCATTACAAGACGAGCATTCATCTATTTATTAAAAATTTTGATTTTTCTTTTCATTCCATCTCCTCCGGTCATTGGGCCTCGGAGATGGCCGGCAACTAGCTAAAGGCGACGATCGGCGAGAGTCCCCCTCGCCAAATCCGGGGAGGTTGAGCCTTACTAGAGGCCAGCGAGGCCCGACCTCACCGGGATCGGACAAGGGGCGATCTTAGTTTCATGTGTCATATTAGTTCCTGAGTGAAATGTAAACCTTTCGTTCCATTTGAACCTTTTACACAATATTCACCTTTCATTCCGAGTGAAATGTAACTTGAATGCCCAATGAAAAATTGGGGCACGAAAGGTTGTTTAGCTTCATTCCTTGACCAATAATAATCTTTTACACATCATTTGACACCCAATTTTCAGTAAATATACTTAATACGTTTACCATTTCTCAAAATTAATAAGGAAAATCGTTGAGTTGATCAAGAGGAAATATTGCAATAAACTATGATCGGTCGATCACTTTTATTTGGTTAAGTTTTACGGTTTATGGGTAAATATATGAATTACCTTAAAGATTTCGACCTTGTGATATGCACTAGATGCAATTTTGCCAATTCAGTCTTAAACCTTTTAATTATGCCAATTGAATCATAAACTTTTTCATATTTTGTCAATTGAGTCAATCCGACCAATTTTAGCTATAAATCATTGACGTGGACGCCGGCCTTCTTACGTGGCACGACCGGCGCTAACACCGACAATTTTTAATACACATCGAACTCCTGATGACTTCAGGAAACACTAAATGCCCTTTCACCTGACGCACAAGGCAATAGGAGAAGAGTTGTTCGTCGGACGAACAAAATCGATATCCAATGGGAAGTGTATCCGCCATTCTTCCTCTCCTTTTTTTCTCTCTCTCTCAAGAACCATTTGAGACTCTTCAATTTGTGATGATGATCTTATGTAGCTCTCTAAATGACTTTCCTTTTCGAACCGGGGCAATGGTACATTTATAATATAGTTATGAGCTTTATGAGTGCACTGTTCAAATCCTTTACAACTGGATCAGGTCAAATCTAAACGACCCTCAGATATGTCAAAACAATCTTTATGTTTAAGTTATTAATCTTCGAGTTAATTAAGTAGCGTGGTTAAGTCAACCGGATTTCATGTTGGGATCCAATTTTCTTTGGCTAATTAGCTAAATAAAATGAACTAAATCGATGATGAGGAGACCTAATTGCAGTAGGAGATAACTGCATTTCATTATATCCCCGAAGTTGTGTGTAGATTGATCATCCCTGCCATTGATCACGTGGCCCATCCGCCTTGACCACTGCTTAGTTGTTCCTCCGTCCGCTAACTACACTTCAATTTACTAAGGGTTCATATCACGAAAGACTCGAAACTGGTACATATGTGATAAATTTATCACAAACTAATTTTTTTACCGCAAAAAACCCAAAACTAGTACACCTTTGACAAATTTACCTTTAGTTAGTTTTGTTAGATTTTACCGTCAAATTACTGAGTTAGATAATACGTGGCAGTTGACTAGCTATACCAGTTTGGATTTTTACCCCTTTGTTTGTCATAGGTGCACCAGTTTATGGATTTTCGTGTTATAAATTCAATTTAACGGACAATAAATTTGCCACAAGTGTAACAGTTTTGGTGGTCAAAAAATTAGCTTGGGGTAAATTTGTCACAAATGTACCAGTTTATGGGGTTTTTGGTAGTTAAAAAATTATTTTAGAGTAAATTTGTCATAGGTGTACCGGTTTGGGATTTTTCGTGGTATTAACCCGTTTACTAACTGATTTTTACCGACTTGGATTTGAATTTTGAACCCGCGAATCCGGATAGCCCAGCCGGCACCCGAGGAAACGGCCCATGCCCGACCCGCGGAGCCCGGCCCACATGCTGCGTCCGGCGAGAAAAAGTTTGAATTCTCCGCTCGGTGCGAATTTCCAACCACGCCCTCGGAAGCCGACGGCAATTCCTCGCGAGCGGCCCGAAACCAGCGGAGGGCAAACCCGTAAATCCGGGATGGCATATCTCCCCCCCACTTCCCCTCGATTCGTTCCGCATCCCCCCACACGCGCATCCCTTTCCCCCACAAAAATTTCGAAACACCCCCGATCCGTTTCCGGCCAAGTTTTCCGCGAAGGCAGAAGCAAGAATCTCCCGGAAGAACACGCTCCGATATGGTGAGAACTCCTCTGCCGATCTGCAGACGCGTCGCTGCTCGATCTCCGGGTCTCTCGGGCGTCCGAGGTCGCGACGTAGTTTGCGCTTAGGGTTTTTTTTTTTTTGTACCTTCGATTCTGAATTCGCCGCCCTCGTCCTCGATCCGCGAGTCGCTTCTCGATTTTGCTAGGTTTCCTGAGGCTGGATGGATGGATGAATGGAAGCGGTGTGGGAAATGGAAATGGTTATCCGCTGTACCGGTTTAGTTTTCTGGAGAAGGAATCTCTTCGATTGTCGTCGTCGTGCTTAGCCTAGTGCTCTGCTTTGGAGGGCTTCTGCTAGTGAGAGGTCCCGGCTCGAGGATGCCGGTTGCGTCAGGGCCGTCGGATCTGTCCGTAATTTGCATATCGGTCTTAGGTAGCATCTGTGAAGGGGAGGTTCCGATTGGAGCTTGCGCAGTTACTCGAGTTAGGTGGTTCCGGTGACATGTTAATCTGCTGGACGGCAGCGATTACGGAGATTGGCTTGCTGCGTCAATAAGATGCCGTGTGGGGAGATTGGTGGGAATTGTTTTTGTCGGTGGAATGTACCTAGTTAGTTTTCTTTAGGAGATTGGCTTGCAATGTGTATTGTCAAGGTGAAGAATTATCCTAGAAATGAAAGGAGTTGCACTGTTTAGTTGCTGCTTGGAGATGGCGAGCTCCTTCGCGAGCATGTGATGAACCGTTTTTCTTCTTTCTCTCCAATAGATCTACATTGTCTCTTTGAGGTGCAAGTGATGTTGTTGCAGTTTTTTTCGCACTTTTAACCATTTTCGTCCCCTATTTTTGCAGGACGGGCACGACTCAGAAAAGCAGAGCACTGCTGATATGACAGCTTTTGTAAGTTCTCAAGCTTAGATTTTTTGTACAGTATCTTAGGCATCTTGTTACTCATGATTAGCTAGTGTAAGTGACGGTATCTTAGTCACTGTTTAATAAGTTGGATGGTGACGAATATACGGTAATGATTAGGTCATGCATCTTCTATTGTCCTATAAGCAATTTACCATGATAAAAATCCTCCTGGCTCTATTCTATAGTAACAATAGCTTTTATCGAATATAGTATGTTCATTTCAATTTCGAGGAAGACAGAGAAAACACTCTTGATTTTGTGCATAGAGTTTTTTTTGTTGCTTGATGCAAGATGTATTTCCCATCTCCCACATCCTTTGCTAAATAATTGTGTTTCTTTTTTAGGTGCAAAATCTTCTTCAGCAGATGGTAAGTTTGTTCTATATGCATGGTGGGGATATTTTTCGTGGTCGCCCTTTTCAGAATGTCTAACAATATTGCTTATTTGTGTCCAATTTCAGCAATCAAGGTTCCAGACTATGTCCGAGTCCATCATCACAAAGAATATCCTTTCCTTACATTGCATATGACTTGCATTATAAACGCATAGTATCTTGTAATGAATTATACTGATTTTATGTTTTTTGGGAGTATAAATGCTGTGATCAGGCATATGAATGACTTTGTTATCTACACACTCTGTGGGTTGGATATTAGGGGAGGAGGAGAGTAACCAAAGATAGTAGGTCTTGGTGAGGGTTGGTCAGCATTAGGCCTCGCCCTTCTCTCTAACTTTGCTGCTAACATCCACTCACATTCCTAGCAATAGCATAATGCTGAGGCTTGCTAGAGTAGTGCATGTTGTGTCTGGTGCAATTTATCATGACGAAATTTTATGAGTCGATAGGAATGTGGCTTCTCTTTGCAAATTGCATAACGAAAGCTGGTTCCACTCTTTTCTATTTTTTCTGTCATTTTTACCTCTGACAAGTAAGACGGATTTTTATGCTTCCATTTAAAGGCATTGCTCTACCTTCTTCCATGTATTGACCTGAAAGAAATGTCACAATCTGTTGTTTTCTTTGACCACGATGCACTTGATGAGATGGGCACCCGAATCGATGAGCTTGAGCAGAGCATCAATGATCTTAAAAATGAGATGGGGATAGAGGGGTCTCCATCTCCTGCTCCTTCCAAGCAGAAGTCAGCTGAAGATTCAGCTTGAAACAGTTCAACGAGCATATTGTCGAAGGATGTGATGGTTCTTGGCGATTTTGTTTGGAACCGTAGGGAAAAAAGTGAAATACATTGTAAGACTTGAGTGTGATGATACCTCTGTTTCTGTCTTTCTTTCTTTCCTGTGGTTTTATGTTGAGTTGAGACCTTTTATGACAATCCTCATGTCTTACGATCACGGTTCGGATGTATTAATTTAGAAGCATACAGAATTTGAAATCCTTTTAGATCTCCATTCTATTTGGTTCTGTTGCATGATCAATGCTACGGTAGGGTGTATATCACATTAACAAGCTAGGATCAAATAACATGTGAAGGGTGGGGATGGTGCTGCTCATGAAAAAACAGTATAGTAGCCGGATCTCCGTAATTGAGATGATCTTGGCGGCATTGGGCGTGGAAGATATGTAAGACATTGAGGTGCATAGGATATGTAAATGCATCAGCGCTCTAGATGCTGATGGTGTTTGGTAGCATTTTCACTGAATGTATTTTTTTGCTAATTCTGACTGAGGGTTCGTGTCACGTGGGTGTTCGAACGGGACATTGTTAATACCGTATTAAAGCCGCGAGTCGTTGAACTGTAGACCATGCGATGTTTGTATTCATGGTACGTTTCGTTATGCATGGTTCGATAACTGTCCAAACTGTGAGCTGCTACAGATGGATCCTTGAGAAAGTGATGGTTAGCATGGAAGATTCATGGCTTCTGGAAACTGACATCAACCTATCTCGATCGTATCTGTGAGTTATATGTGCAAGTGGCATGGTGGCTTTCTAATAAGATTTGCCGATCCAACATTTTACTCAAGTTGCAAATGAAGGGTCCGTTTGGTTCAACTTTGCAAATGAATCTTGGGGGAATGCAAATATTTCTAGGTTAAAGCCCCTTGGGGAAATACTGATGACATTTGGTAAAAAATTCTTTGTAAAGCTACTTTGGCTTTTTTTTTTTTACAAAAAGCTTTGGGACCCTTTTTTATTAAAAAAAAAACAGGTTAACCTTCGCCGGAGCCGGCAAAGGGCTACGGTAGCCGGTGAGCCAGATCTGGCGTCGGCGGCCATCGCCCGAGGTCCGGCATCCCTCGGCGAGGGTTGCACGACCCAAGTGCCGTCGGCCTAGGTTGCGCAACCTCAGGTAACTGTCGCTTGGGTTGCGCGACCTCAAGCGGCCGTCGCTTGGGTTGCGCGACCTCAAGCGGCCGTCGCTTGAGGTCGCGCGACCCAGGCAATTGTTCCCAGGGTCGCGGGACCTTAGGCGACGGCCGCCTGGGCGAACGCGCGACCCCAGGCGGCCGTCTCCTCGGTCGGGCGATCTCACCGGCCCTTCGCTATCCAGATCCGGTGTTATCGGCTACCCTTTCGCAAAGAAGATGAACAGTAATAACAAGGAGCAAATCAGAATATTAAAGAATAAGTGAAGTAGTTTGGGAAGAAAAAAATTAGTTTCAGCATTTGCCAAGCCCAAAGTTGGTCCGGACCAACTTTGGGTATTCCCAACGCCGGCTTTCAGTCGAAAGCTTATTGGGAATGCTTGTCAAACGCCCTAACATTTCCCCAAGGGGCTTTCGGGGCCGAAGTCTAAATTAAATTGAGTTTGAGCTACTAAGATCGAGAAATGAAATCCGCAGGCATCTCCTATTTGGCAACCGCGCAAACAATTGAAATTTGCTTTAGACGAACCGGAAAAACCATGCAAAGTGCAGAACCAGATAAACAAGAAAATAAGATGGAACTGTGATTCCGTGAGCAACATACACATCAAAGCATACATATATGTAAAATGTACATGCAAGAATATGAACAGTCCATCAAAACTCCCGACGAAAGGGGAAGTTTTGGATTACTCCATAAACGCAGGCTCAAGAGGCTGACAGCCTCGAGAACCATCAGCGCCTGCAACTAGTGATCTGGCTGCATCCCCTCGAGTAGGGATTCCGCTGAGCTCCGGCCCGGCAGTTGTAGTACGATGTGCCACGTCGAGAGCACGGCACCGAGTTCCTCCTCAGCGCCCCATAGCCTATGTACTGCTTCGTCGCTAGAATGCGCCTCTTGCCTACGCTCTCGGTCTCTGTCTCCTCCCCCAGAGCTCTGCACTCGCCGATGGAGTTGCCTCGACGCTCTGACCTCCACTCGAAGTAGCTCGCCTGGTGGAGATCGGCGAAGTCGGAGGCACACGAGATGGTGATATTGAATGCCAGGATCGCAAGCAGGGCCAGGAAGACATGGATACGCTTTGAGGTGTTGTCCATTGTTGTCGTTGGGCTTGTTTCGTTGATCTATATGATTAGTTCAGACTTTCAAATAACGTGCGATGCTTTTGTATGTCCTTAGCACTGACTTAGAGCGTTGATTTACATGATCGCCACCTGGCCTTTTTATTTTCTTCTTAGGCTCCGTTCGTTTGGCGGAAAATATTCTCTCTTTTGGAAAATATTTTCCCGGAAGTCATTTTCCTGGAAAATATTTTCCCGGAACATAATTTTCCAAAGTGTTCGCGACCAATATGAAAAAGTTTCAGAAAATATTTTTCGCCGGCGACCGATGGCCAACGTCCGGCGTCCTCGGCGGCCGGAGGCCGGCGACCGGCTGCGGCGCGGCGGCGATGGCGCGGCGGCGGCAGCGACCTTAGTGAAGAAGAAGAAGAAGAGCTCGGAAAATGATTTCCGCTTTTGAAGAAGCGGAAGTCATTTTCCGTAGACTAGCTTATTTTGTGAGGGGGAAGGAAAATATTTTCCCACGGAAAACGTTTTCCGCCCCCTGAACACCGGAAAACCCGGAAAATATTTTCCGGGAGAATATTTTCCGCCAAACAAACGGAGCCTATAGACTCTATTTGTTTTGCGAAAAATAAATAATTTGAAAAACGTTTTCCTAAAACTGATCATTTGTATAGCTCGAAGTAATTAGTCAGTAAAAAATATTTTCATTATCGACTTTATGTCTAAATATTTTTGTGGAAGGTGAAAATAATTTTTTGTTCATTCATTTTTGTAAGTGATACAAACGATCATTTTTAGGAAAATATTTTCCCAATCGTTCATTTACCACAAAATAAATGGAGCCTTAATCTCGCATTTTAATTTAAAGTTCGTGCATCCATAGCTCATACAGTACTATTTCCTTCCCCGACATGAATCTGACTTTCATCAACCTATCACAACTTATATAAGAGATATACAACCGGCTCTTACCATTATAATTTCCCTGTGGGCTCAGTAGCCCAAAACCTAAGATGCAAGCATTTGAAATATTCCACATCGTTTGATTATGGGGTTCATATGCATTTTTTATATACATGTAATCTCCCTTCACCTAATAAAATGAGCTTTCAAGTTGGGTTTTCGAACCTGATAGCAGAGGTAGGTTATGTCCCAATTTATTTTACGTGTGCAGATTGCAACGTTAAGATATTTTAATGTAGACTCCCCCGTGAATAAGGATTAAATAACAAGAGTGCTGTCTCGAGATCCTTATGCGTTCTTGTTTTAACTTGATTGTTCTATATAGAGTAGGCAGCTTTGCTTGGTTTTAACGAAAGGTAAATGACCTTTCTTTGGGGGTTGCCTTTGTCAATGTCATTTCTTATGAACGAATGATTATCTATCGAGACTTGAGAGAACAAGGTGCATTAGGGGACAGCGAATGCCGACGGCATGCTTTGAAAATGTGGATGTTTCTTCGTCACGAGGAGGTGTGAATGATAATGCTTGTCGAATTTAATTGCACCACATCAAGTATGCATTGGTAATACGTAGAGCTATATCTTTAGCCGCTAGGCAAGCTTTACATGATTATCGGACCTTATTGGCCTTTCGCCATCTATGTTTACGCCTAAATTTCGATCCCGAAGGGAAAAGAAAAGCGTAAGGGATACTTTCGAAATAATTTGACGCGAGATGTGCGCCTTGTTGAGATATGAAATACAATATCGCGATGTTGTTCACGAATGTAATCATATCCTTTGCCCGAAGTGGCAACGCGACTTGCTGTCGTCCCATGTCCCGATCCTCGTTGAAAATTTTGGAGACCCTCAAGGACATGATAACGTAAGTCATTAGCATAATTTTAACGTGAGGACTAAGTCTAGTACTGGAGAGTGTAAAGGTTGAATGAGTGCTTCCCCACTATGAGTTTGTCGTGCTGGACGATGGATGACTATTAGTATTGTTTATGTTTTAGCCTCATGAACCATCCTAGATCTTAAGAACCAAAATTCTCATCCAAACAAGGAGATTTGGTTGTCTATATAGAAATAACAATTTGGAGACTCGTTAGTCTTGTTCTCGTCTGTCTTCCACACGAGGACATACGTTCGAAATATGTTGTGCACGAGCCTCTACCCGACTTTTAGTTCTCAGGCGTTGCTACTTCGTGTAAAGAGAGCTACGAATTGCCGATACGTCAATTTGGCTGTAATTAGGGGCTTGTTACCTTATGACTCCGAGCTTTCCGGTGGTGCTGGATAGTTATATCTCTAATCGAATATTTTGTAATAGGAGTGAGGTTTTATGGTCCAAACAAGGGTCATCAACTCTGGGTGTCTCTCCCCACAATTTCATCATAGGTTACATGAGAAAAGTACCAAAAAAGTCATAAACTTATTGCATTGGTATTAATTCAGTCATAAACCTTTCAATTGGACTAATCCGATCCATCTGGTCAATTTAGGACGGAAATCGCTAATGTGGATGCCGGCCGTCCTACGTGTCATGACCATTTTTAATAATATTTTGATAATTTTATTATTTTTTCCATTTCTTTTTTTATTCTTTTCCCTTCATTTTTGGCCCGTGAGGGTCGCCGCGACCCTTTCTGGCCATTGGACGAGGGCCAGCAAGCCCTCGCCAGCCACTGGCCAAAATGAAAGGAAAAAAAAAGAAAAGAAAATAATAAACTATCAAAAAAATAATTTCATAAATTATTAAAAAATGTTCATGTTAGCTAAGTAGGACGGCCGGCGTTCACGTCAACAAATTTTGGCCTAAATTGGCCGAAAGGACTTAATTGATGCCAATGCCAAAATGTTTAGGACTAAATTGGTCTAATTGAAAAATCTATGACTGAATTTGTATCAATATAATAGTTTGACTTTTTAGGTACTTTTCCCAAAGTTACACCTACCAACAACAGCAGAGTTTCACCAAAAGTATCCATGATAGGGCATGACTTATAATAAAAGAGATTATTCTATTATATCCTGACAAAACAGATAAAATCTAATTTAAATATTCGAGATAATTATTCAATAATTTCTTAAATATCTCATAGCCCCGAATTCTAAATCTCCTTTATCTTACAAGCATTTGCATTTATTTCCCAAACAGATTCAATTTTATGAATTAACTTCTAATTTCCCCGCATATGTGCGTGTGCTATTTTGCGAGTATTAAGAAAAATAGTTTAATTTGTTTCACATTTCGGTATGTCACATCTATTATACCTAGCGGATTGTATTGGGGCTAAAATTAGTTAACTAAAGACAATGTATAAGTGCAGTAAGTAAACTTGTGTTATCACAATTAGACTTTACTCCTACTTATTGACACGCGATTGAGTAATTTATTCTCTGAAAATTCCAGCAAACCAATGACCCCCCAAGAAAAGGGCCCGTTCGCATAGTGTCCAAAACCAAGGGTACTAGCTAGCAAGTCGGTTTTAGACACTGTACGAAGCACATGCCAACTAGTAGGAGCCAAAGCTCCCATCCTGTCACCCCCGAGCACGGGTGGCTACTATACTAGCCTACTCAGAACGTAACCAGCCGAAACTGACGTGAAGTATATCCTTTTCACTCAGGAGGCCCCTCAGTTATCTTCCAAACTTTTCTTCCCGGGAGAGGGAGAACACGAAGAGAATTTACGGGGAGTTCTTTTCCCTGTCTCCCCTTGAACCTTTTAAGGATCTACTCAGGTCCATACCAACCTATTTGTCCTCTCTAACCATAAAATTAAAGAAGTGCACTCGTCATTAATTTTAATAGGAAGGCCAAATTATTACGTCACCACCTCTCCGCCTAAATAATTATGTTCTGTTGACCATTTAACATATAGGTGAAATTTAATGAAAAAGAGACAAAGAAAAATTATTTTTTGTTACTGATTTTGGTTGATAAAAAACCTCTCATCTTCTTTTACTCGACTTGCTATTAGTGGATATAAGAAGGAAACACCACCCCCACCTCAATTGAGATGTTATCATGAGTTAAATGAGGAGACCTTATTTCCTAAGAATCTATCTACCTATGTTATATGTAAATATATATGTGCCCGCGCACGCGCGAGCATGACCTATACCCACTAATGGACGATGGAATAATTTTGCTTTAGATGATTCACTCTAGTAATGTAGTAATTATAAGAGTAGGAAATATACGTGAGTAATTTTTCTTTAGATGATTCACTCTGGTAATGTGGTAATTATAAGAGTAGGAAATATACGTGAGTATGCATTAGCTAAAGTTGACTCTGCCTATATAATCTACAACAACATCAATTAGTAATCTCCAATGGTTGCGCATATGTCGATCATCAGATACAATCAATCGAAATTGTATTTCCATTGAGGTTAGGATAGATCTGCATGTCGCTTTCTAATCTAAATAATAGCAAGAGGATTAATAGGAGTGTCGTCATATCTCTTTGTGTTTACTGCTTGGATCGAACTGATGCTAAGGATTAATGTAAATAGGCACTTTTTATCTATGAGAACACCACGCGCAACGTGGTTTCTGTCGATGCAAATGGATGCAACACATGCTCAACGAATTAAAACTGTGGGACCATCACCAGTGGCAATGTCGGGATTTCGTAGTGATCAGCCATGAAGGTTCGTAACTGAGAGAGAGAGTATTCCGAAGAAGAAAAAAAACTCTCTTCCGATAAACTTTAGCTTTAGCTGGTTGTCACTAAGAAACCACCGGTTTCGCGGTAATGCTCGACTTAACAATTTATTCGGTAAACTGTCGGGGGCTCATGTAACCCATACCGAATTAATCGTATTATGAGCCGGAGCAATGAACCTATTTGGAATGGCTTATTTTGTATCATAAAAGCCCATGTATGAACAAGGACGATTCTATTACGAGCACGTCCAGGTCAGCATTCTAGAATTTCCCGGAAAAAATGAACTGAAGCTTTGATTTTTGGGCACATTACTTGTATATATATTTTTGTTCTTTTTACGATTTATTTATTTTTGTTAAAATATGCAATTGATTGTCGACAAAAATTCAGGTGTAATGCGAACTTTTTTTTTCTCCAAAGCATCCAAAAAATAAATTTCCTATTTCCTTAATAACGAAATGCACAAGATAAA